GACACTGGCGCCACCGAGCCCTCTGACCACCACCAGTATGCAACGGGTGAAGTAACCAAAGGTAATATTTATCTGTCTAGGGATTAAATATTTATGTTAAGGCCTGCTATTACCCACACTACGCCTCACTTATATTTCGTTTATTTTACAGTCCTTTAAGCGTATTCTTTCTCTAAATATTAATATTTAATTGTCTGAAAAACAAACAAACACCAAACAACCATTCAGAGACACGTGTTTGGACATGCTACCCCCTCCTGCATGACTAAATTACACTTTTTAATCACCCGAAGTGGTCTCGCGTGATAAAACGTTGTCTTATATGAACAGTATCCATCACCAAACTCTTTTTTTTTCATGGCTCGTTACCGCTTGAGTGAGAATGTCGACAGTTGTCTTCTTAAAGGGACAGTGCGACACTTCGTCTTGTTTGCAGCTGCGCAGAGGACGCCTGTCGCTTTAAAAAGCGTGACAGTTCATAGATGCAAAAGTGGGCTATGTGAGTTTTTGCTGTGTCGGGGGCTGTAGCGTTCTCATACCGCTGTCGACCTTTGGATCTCGACCCTCGGGGACAGTAGGCAGATCCGCCGTCCTCACTGACAATTGGCTGTGCTCCTCTTCTCTTGAGAACTACTGATTCCTATTACGCTTCAGCTCGAGACCAAAACACAGAAGAGATGTGGCGCGAGTGTGCGCGATGCTGCCAAAGTCCCCGGTCCTTAGCGCAGGCCCTTATCGCAATGTTTGAAGATTAACGAGGTTATCCGTGTCCTCTAGACCACCAGAGATACAGCAGCTGTTCCCAGCAGGCCACGAAGCCACCCTAGCAGCCGGACAGCGTGTCGAGACGGACTGACAGGAAGGAAGTAACCGCTGTATCTGCACGGGACAAGCAGAGCCTGGTAGCATGACTGAAAAACGAATGTCGCGGTGGTATTTCGGTGGGCTGGCATCATGTGGAGCCGCCTGCTGCACACATCCTCTGGATCTCCTTAAGGTGAGCGGCGTAAGGGGCACAGTAACCTTCCGCCGCGTGTGCAGGCCTTGACACATGGGTACAGCTGTTCCCAGAGGCAGTACTGGGGAACATGACAGATTAGTTATTCGCGGATAGCTCATCACAGAGTGGTTTTTAGATATCATTCTGTGCTTTCAAAAGCTGCACACCTTCAGCCTTTATTAAAGACAGACAGACTTCGAGGTACCATGGTCGAAGACAGATGTGTTAAACATCCGGTCTGGGAGTCCGAACTGGGCCGTCGGATTGCTTGCCCCATCGAACGAGTCTTTAAAGTGTGAAACCTGCAGTGAAGGCATCGATTACCCCAATGTTTCATTTAAATGTACTGCTAACCAATCCGGGGGTGATGTTGGGCTTAATTACAGGAGTAAAAATGGGATGAAAATTAAAGTATTACAATATTTAAACAGCTTGATTAAAATAAAATAAAAACGTACTATTGACTAGCTAGAAAAACTACATGTGAAGATTTTGTTCCTGTAAACTGTAAGCATTGTGCAGTGACAGTAGTCTCATTAAATGTGGAAAACTGAAATATATTTTGGAAATTGTATTTATCTCAGGCTGCTAATTGTTTTGTAAATGGATAAATTATACTTTTTATTTTTATGACAAATTTTAGAAGAGTGGCGTTATTGTTCAGGCCCACTCATGACACATATATGACTTATGAATTAAGATAAGTTGGGACTAGACTTCCAGTCTAGGATATACAGGTCTAATTAGCAAAACATGTTGATTACTTGAGTAAAAATATAAAAAAGTGGTGTTACGACAGGGTGGCATTAAGTCCAGGGGATACTCCCGCCTCTCGCTTTATGGTAGCTGAGTTAGGCTCCAGCTGCCCCAAGTGTGAAATGGATAAATGGAAGAGAATGTATGTTCGGATATCAATAGATTAAGTGCAATTTAAATCACACTGAGAAATAAAAAAAAACAACTTTTGCCACATACTCTCCTTGGTGGAGAATGCAGATCTGTGAGTGTTTGCAGGGACATGCTTGTTCACTCTTGTTGATTTCGTCACATTGCTGCATGGAGAAGTAAATTTGTACATCTCTAACAGATTACTCAAATTCTTTCTTATGTTACTCCCTTTTGATTGCACAGAAAAAAGCAGCATGTGAGCCTAATAAGGCCAACTGGTCCTCAGGAAGTCCTGTGGTGTGTAATTACGTAGTTAAGGCTTGCAATTACCCCACTGCAAAAAATGCCCTGAAGTGCTCTATGTGTGTTAGCTTGTGAACTGGTCGGAGATGTTTTTGAAGTATAGCTTCATTTTCGTAGTTGGCACACAAATTATGGGAAAGATTAAAATACAAGTTTATGGCAGAGGAAAAATCAAGGCACCTTTCATGACAGTGATGAACCTTTGACCTCTAAAAGTATTATTTAAAACATTAATTATAGATGCTTCTGTTCAGTTCAGTTCAATTGTATTTATATAGTGCTAAACCAAAACAAAAGTTGCCTCAAGGACTAGTTTTCAGGAAATGATAAAAACGTAGTCAGCATTTGCCCCCCATGGGGTTTTTGTTAGTAACCTGATTTTAGTTAGTTTAAGGTGATTTTGAGATTTATTACTGACAAGCTATTCTTGCCTAACATGATAGTCTACATTAGTGAACTACAAAGTGATTTCACTGTGAGACAATAGAGTGACTGTGCAAGTTTTTATTGTGTTGTATACAGTACTGTGGTTATTTACATAAACTGAGGGCAAGTAATTGCAGCTTATTTCCTTGTTGTGGAAATGAAAGGGTGTGTTCTGAAAGCTAATGGTGATGCTGTTTTGCTCCATTGTTATTCTTTGTGTCAGAGTGAATTGGATCCCATGTGGGAGAATTGTTTGTTTACTTAACAAAAGTGAATTTCACGGAATCTGTTTACTTTTGATATACGGTTGAAGTGAGTCGCATTCCATGTTTGCTTGTCACTGCTTGTCTTGCTATCTTTTAGCAAAAAAACCAGATTTAAAGTATTCAGTCTGTTGTTCAGAGCATTGAGCGGTGTTCCACTGCAGCCTAAATATGTCATCTTTACTCCTCGGTAATAACCTTCATTCCCCCACGAGTTAAATACCATAATAACAACTTTATAGGTTTTGTAGGGAGCTGTCATTGGATAAAGAAAAGAAAGGATACGCTTATAATTAGAGCATGTCATACACAAAAGAACTGGGGGTTTATTCTGTAGTTTGTAACCCAACATTAAGGCAGTTTGCGACTTTGCAACTTACAAAGCCAACGCATACCAACAAACCACATTTCCATAAACGTTAACGGCAGGACATCTGCATTTAGGAATGACGTGTATCACCAAACCCACGTCAAATAAGAAAACTGCCTGGTCATGCCCTATCAGCATACTTTTTTTTGTATGTGTGTTAATCAGGAGATCTATTACACCATCAGATAAACAGTTTTTTGTTTTCTGAACCTGTACTCGAGAGTTGCTAAACAAGATTTTTCTGACCTCACCTAAAAAGACAATCATTTAGCCAGACTCTTATCACCTCATCCTGGTGTAATATTTCAACACGATGAGTGTGCACAAGTGTTTCTTGGCTTGTGAATGCGTGTTGGTTCACTGATAGCTTAAGTATAGTAACCACTGAGGACAAAGCACGTACAGCAGTGTTGGCATAAACAAGGAACAGAATGGAAAAGTTCCTCAAGTGCAGCCATGCTTAAAATAATAAAAATAAGATTCCAGAAAGATGCAAAATGTTGTCGAGTCCAGTTTAACTCAGCTTAAGTCGGGGTAGTGATTGTGCACCCCAATACTACACCGTATTAGCAAAAGTTTTCACTTACAAGTCATTGAATTCAGGTGTTCCAATCACTTCCATGGTCACAGGTGTATAAAATCAAGCACCTAGTCAGGCAAACTGCTTCTACAAACGGTTGTGAAAGAATGGGTTGCTCTCAGGAGCTCAGGGACTTCCAGGGTGATACAGTGATAAGCTGCCACCTGTGGAACAAGTCCAGTCAAAAAAAAATAAAAATAAATTCATGTTCAACTTTTAGTGGTATTGTAAGAAAGTGGAAGCTATTTGGAATTGCACCAACTCAGGCCACAAAGTGGTAGGTCACGTAAAATCACAGAGCCAGATCATCGGCCCTTTAGTTCCAGTGAAAGAAATTGTTAATGCTTCACCATAAAGAGACAATTTTGAGAATTTCATGCTCCCAACTTTGTGGGAGAGTTTAGAACAGCAAGACATGACTGCGCACCAGTGCACAAAGCAAGGTCCACAAAGACATGGATGAGAGAGTTTGGGGTGGAAGAACTTGGCTGTCTTGCAGAGAGTCCTAAGCCCAACCCAACAGAATTTTCAGTACAGACTGTCAGTAGTTCTCCATGTCACTGCTGATACTTTGAAAAGCTGTGATAAACGAGATACTGAGAGCTCCAAAGTAAAACTAGGAAATGAATATTAAATTTCCCATTTGACTTGAACTGTGCTTAAAAACAGTCTGTCAGTGTAAACCAGCAGGATGGTGATTAAACAAAAAAGCGACTCAAGGAATCATAACTATTTATACATCTATTTTACTGCAGTAGACACTGACAACAGTTTCATTTGAAGGCTCAGTGACCTTCATGGTGTAATCTTGGTAATAACATAGGATTAAAGCCACATTTTGGACCATTGACCTTCTCTGATAAGAAAAATAAAACAAGTATATCTTGGTAACACATTTGGAAAACTTCTTTATAATTGCCTAAATTGCACGTATTATCATGACTTATCCTCCTCTTACGACTGTCTCATCAGAGCTTGGTGAGTGTTTTAGAGCTTTACTAATACCAGAGAATTCAGATTATACAGAGTCACCCCTTGTGGTACAAGTTGTTCTGTAAAACTAAAAGTTTGTGAGGTTGCTGTATCAGCCACAATAAACACACATTATATCAGTTTCTTCATTATTTGCTGTGTATTTACTGTGTGACCTTCATGACTGTCTGTCCAGGTACACTTACAGACGCAGCAGGAGGTAAAGAAGAGGATGATTGGAATGGCTGTTCATGTGGTGAAGAACGACGGAGTCCTGGCTCTATACAGTGGTCTATCTGCTTCACTATGTAGACAGGTATGGGTGCCTGTGTGCATACCATAGGATTCTGTGTGTTTGTGTGTGTTGTTTTCTTCATTGGTTGTTTCTCTCACTAAAACAGAGTGAGACATTTACTTTAAGCATGTAATTTGGTACCTGTAGCACATGCATAGTACTGAGATTAAAATGTTACTATTTGAACTTACTACACTGTAGTGCTGAATATTATGTGAAGTTAACTGTGGTTGATGAATAAAATAACTGGTTTATTGCAGCAGGATATGATCAAATACGTCACTGGTGAATTGCAAGTCTATAAATGTTGCAGAGGTGTGACCGCGGTGAGAACGAAGAGTTGTCAATAAAGGGTTGTTCAAGTTTGATCCTGTTAGACCGTAAGTGAACTAAACTCTCCTCTCAACCACCCTGTAATTAAAGGCGCACGCACCTAAGCCATACCAAATACACCCAAATGTTTAAATGAATTAGTAATTATGAAGTTGAAGACAATTTTGAAAATGTTTTATGTAAGTAAAATAAACTATAATATCTGTATCCATTACAAATAAAGAGAAATATTTCAAATATTTTTGTTTTAACTTTAATTATTATGG